GCGTCTTACAAACCAAGAAACTAAAATTAAAATCCCATACTTTTTCATGATTCTGACTTTGTCAAACAAGAACTTTGTGCAGTCGAATTTTTATACTGTTAGTTGACTAAGCTAATGCAACATCAGCCGAAACCATTTATTTGAAAAAAAATCTTAAAAAGAAAAAAGTATTTGAAATCAGACGTGGTAAAATGACAAATTACAGAAATTACAATTATAGTAGAAAAAACTCACAAAATACATGAAAACCACGCTTCAGAGTTAAGGTTGATATAATTAAAAACAGATTTAAAAAATAGTTTTTTGAAAAAAAAAGAAAAAAAATCGACGGAAAATTCGAAAATGAAAAAGTCAAAAAGAATTATTCATTACTTGCAATAAAGTACAATCAAATTGAAAAAAAAAAGAAAAATGAATTTAAAAATACTTGAAACCACATTTTCAAACAATTGCTACAAAAAAACTTCAGAAAAATAACCTAATTCTGCTTTCCCAAGAACCAAAACGTTCGTATACTCATTAAAAGCAAATTAGGGGCCCAGTCAAACTTGAACTAGGGGCCCAGTAGCTGCTTGATTTATTTGAGACTTGTTTTCCTTATGCGGGTTGCAGTGGGTAATTTCAAAAACTAGACTTTGCCCAAAACTTTATTTGCCTCTCTAATAAAATAAGTGATTGGATAGCTTGTTTGAAAATCAAACAAATTTTGATGAACGGTCAAGTGTTCAAAAACATGACATTCTACTCAGCTACTCTTTAAAACTACTCTCAACTACTCACTAAAATTATGGTAATGAATACTTCTTATTAAACTAAAATCAATCGTATGTCTCAATGAGTCTATAATTTTTTTCATGCACAGAAAAGATTGTGGCCGCTTAAACATAGAACACTTCGAGAACCGGGTTTCTCGATTTAACTTTAACTTAACCAACTAATTGACAATGTAGCTTTCGAGAAAAGTCAAAAAGTTTCCAAGAAAAGGTCATAAAATCAAACTGAACCGGCTGTTCCGCAAGTTATATCTTTTTTGCGTAGAAAAAAAAATGGGCAGAGCGGCTTGAGCAAAAGATATTTACCCATTTTGTTAGTTCGACTGAACGCAAAAACTCAATTGAACGCAAAACAGATTTTGAAAGCATATTTTTCGAAAAAAGTCAAATAGTTTCAAAAGACGGTACAAAAACCAACTAATGACTTTTCCGAGGGTCATAACTCACGTTAGGAAAATTTGAGCGTAGGCGCTTATGCATGTGGATTTCTCATAATGCGTTCTATCCATTGAACCCAAAATCTCAGATTTGAGAGAGTAGTTTTTGAGAAAACGAAAAAGATTGAGTCAAATATTGCCCACTCATACTTTTTCGAAGGCTGTAGATGAGTTAACTAATTTAAAAACTAAATTCAAAAAATGCTATTTAAAAAAAGAAAAAAAACGAATAAAATACGAAACCGAAAAAATCAAAAAGAAGTATTCATTACTTGCTATAAACTAAAATCAAAAAGAAAAAAATTGAAAAAAGAATTTTCAAAATATTTAAAACAACATTTTCAAACATTTGCTACAAAAAGTAATTTCAAAAAAAAACAATTTAATTCGGCATGCCCCAGAAATCATCCCATTTTCATCAACTTTATCAAAAATGAAGTTAAAGTACACAACAACAACAACAAACGTACAGAGCAAACATACAGTTGTAAGAGACTAAGAAATGCAAGGAAACAGAAAGAAAACGGGTGTTTTTTTAAATAACTTTCAAATTTACACTTTCAACGTAAACACAGGCGAAGTGGAACTTCGCACCACTCACCATACAACACAATCATAAAAAGTAAGTTGAGAAAAACTAGGTGAACCAAAAATTTCTCATGTCGCGATGAGGACACCTAGGGCTCAGCTACATTTGGAGAAGTGTGTTTGATATTTTTTGAATTTGCTATACTGCTGCGGGAGAAAATGTGTTATTTCAAACATTGCAAAGTGCTCGAAATGTTTGTTGTTTCTCTACAAAAAAGTCAGAAGAGTAAAAACAAAACTAGGTGAACCAAAAAGGTCGTATGTCTCAATGAAACAAAATTATGGTTCCAGCTAAAGCTGGAGGTGACAAACTGATATTTTCGAAAATTCTTATACTCCTGTGGAGTGATATAGGTATTGCGCGTCCAATTCTTTTGATTGAAATTTTCATCTCAGATTTGATAGGGTAGTTTTTAAGAAAACTCAAATAGTTTATACAAAAAACGGTCAAAGTAAAAAAAACTGAATATCCTTAATCCGTTTTTCCGGCCAAAAATAGGCCAAAGCCGGTTAAAAAGACAAGACTCCCAAAATCGGGTTTCTCGATTAATTATTTCACCTGAGAATTGGCACGGTAATTTAAAAAAAAAATCAAAATTCTAAAAATCGGTTGAAGTTATAAATTTTTAATTGTTCGAAGACAATGAAATTTTTATTCAAGAAAAACTGGGCATAGAAATTTAAAAAATTCAGAGTGTCGATTAAGCCTATAATATCAGATCTGGCAGGATAGTTATCGAGAAAAGTAACTAGCTAGGCAAGTTCTAGGCAGAAAACGCCAAGTTTCTACAAAAAACGGTCAGTTAAAAAACTGAATCTCCTTAATCCGTTTTTAGCCAAAAATAGGCCGTGGCCGGTAAAGTAGACAAAGTTTCCTAAATTGGGTTTCTCTATTGATTATTTCACCTGAGAATTGGCACGGTAAATTTCAAAAAAAAATCTAAATTCTAGAAAAACGGTTTAATTTACAAATTTTTAATTGTTCGAAGGCAATAAAATTTTCCAAGAGAAACTGGGCGTAGGAATTAATAAAAGTCAAAATGTCGATTAAACCTATGATATCAGATCTGGCAGGATAGTTATCGAGGAAAGTACACAAAATGAACAAATCAGAAAATTGACATTTTTGAGAATCGTAGCCCTTTTTTTTAAAGACTGGGCGTAACCACTCATGTAAAATTAGATTAACCCAATATGCTATTTCGATTGAATCCAAAAACCTGGGATTGGCAGGGTAGTTCTCGAAAAAAGTCAAAAACTCAAAACAACGGCTAAAAAAATCTAAAATTAAAAAAAAACGCTCTTAAAATCAAAAAATTCATTTTCGAAGAACAGTAAGTGTTTACATAGAATTTTGTGAGTTGCCGTTAATGCAGGAGGTTTTATAATTATTACCAGTTATCCCCCCTGAACCCACAGTTTTACGTTTGGGAAGCTAGTTTTCGATAAAAAATAAACAGTAATCATTAAACGGTCAAAAACTTATAAAAAATGTGACTATTCCGAGGACAATAATTTTGTGGTAAGAATTTGGGCGTAGCTGCTTGTAGAGGGAGCTTTTTGAATCCGTTCTGTTCATTGAAACCGAAATATCAGATTTAGTAGTTGATTTTTTGCGAAAATATCGGTGAAGTTAAAATTATCCTTTAAAAACTCCCCAACAGACTTTTTCGTACGCTGTAGACCAAGAGGTAACACAAAAAAAGGACCTGGGGAATATTCAGGCACACAAGAACGTAAGGGTAATTTCTATGTATACCCTTTCTCAGAACTCAGTGGAAAGGTTTTCGAGAAAAACTAACTTTTGCAAAAGCGAAAAATTTTTCCACGGCTTTTAAAAAAAAATTCACATTCCATATATTTCACCTAAGTTTTATCACACATAAGTTCTAGGCAGAATATGCCAAGTGAGACATTTGATATTCAAATTAGCAACTTAACAAAACTTACAAAGTGGAAACAAATTCGACAATTTTTGAGTAGACACCAGTTGAGTAGGAAAAAAATGACTGTTCAAAAAATAGTGTAATCATTTATGTTTGAAATTCAGAATAATGGAATGTAATTTTGGATCCATTACCATCCAGCAAAAAAAAATTTCGACTCAATTCTACAGTCAACATTGACCGAGACCAGTCGCAGCTAATTGACGGTGCTCATTGACTCAGCTGAAAACTTTTAATTATCAGACAACTGAATATAATACACAGCGGCCAGGCTAGAACTCTCGAACACAATCGAGAAAAATTTTTTTAATATCAAAGAAAAATAAACTTAGTATGTGAACTGAAGATAGTGCGTATATACTAGATGCAATCATATATGCATTGACATGTATGAATAAACTTCTGAAAAACTTTTGAGCATTTTATGACTTCCTAAAAAACTTTCAAAAAAAATATCGCGATTTATTAAGCTTTCAATTCTTACAAATGCATCAACTATGTTAACTTATTTCTGATCAAATGTCAAAAAACTTGCTAATAAACTGCCAAAACATGGTTTAATTTCCGTTTGCAACAACACTCGTACACGTTTCTGCTGCCACCCATGGCCGAGTCTTAAACTATTCAAAAAAATGTTGTTGTTTTCACTGCGCTCAAAAAAATGGCAAAACTGTTTCCGCCAAGCTATCAATTCCTCCCACCCTCAATTAATCTACTCTCGTGAAATGTTTACGCGACATTTCTCCGCGGCGCATTAAAAAAACTTCAAGATGCCGCGCCAGTTGCCAATTAGTTTTTAGTCATCAGTCTTGCAATAAACAGCAGCAGGTTGGTGGTTAATTTGGTCTGCCGGCAAACATGTTAGGATAGGAAAGACATGCGGGTAAAAGTTGCTTGGCAGTAAATTCGGCATAGCACGAGAAAAAGAACGCACCTATACTTCTCTGGAAAATGAAAAGTCACGATTTCAGTTCGAATCGTAAATATTGCTATCGTCGTATTACTCAGAAATAATTTTTGAGACACGCTACTTGCATTTTGTCAAGAAAAATTCAGATAAACAAAACTACAAGCTGCCCTCGAATAGCAGCCGCAATTAAAAAGTCAACAAAAATCTTAAAATCCGACAACAACTTGACACTCACTTTGCTATCAGTACACTCACTTAAACCGGTACTAATGCTCACTTAACAGAAAACACTTTTGCTTATTGTGAAACAAGTAGTATTGTGTTTCAAGACAATGACTCTCGCAAATTTTGGGAAAATATTTATTTTAAATTAAATCATTGAATGAATGTTCATTACAAAAAGATCGCAGGTTTGTGCTAAAAGAAGTTTAACAGTTTTTTCAAATATTAGCGGCACACTCTTCCCCGTCATTTGTGCATCTGCAGCAGCAACGAAACTTGATTCGTGTCTAACTTATTTTGCAAATTTGAAAAATAAGTGACAGTCGGTTTTGGGTCTAAAGCGTTGAACACGAAAAACAAGAAATAGTTCGAGCCTTTCTCAGTGGCGAATTTCAGTTCTGCAGACGATATTTTAAACACTTCGCATTGGGGTGAAGAAGTTGATTTGACCTCTATAAAATCTATCTTCTGCGTAGATTTATGCGTTACACAGATGTCGTACGGCCTGTACTGCTCCGTTGTTTCGTTTAGCCAGTGGATTTCTGTTGATCCTTTCCATGTTTCGCATAGTTGTTTGTAGACTAACAGCTCGCCTAAAAAAGCAATCAAACAAACTTAAGCTTTATATTAAGCACCAGACGTTGATCTAGGACTTTTCCAAAGAGGAAAACCGAAGGTAGAGGAGGTTTTCATAGCATTTTTGAAAATTCAAGCCTTGTAAAAAGCATACATCTCAGATTTTCAAGCTCCTCCCAAATCTACAAAAACTGCTGGAATGATTTATACGCAAACATTAAAAAACACAAACATTAAAAAACGAAAAAAAGTGAAAGAAAATTTTCGTATCTCTTGATAAAAGACAAATAGGAGCCCAGCTAAAGCAGAAGTTATGTGACTTGAAATTTTTAAATTTGTTAAACTGATGCGGGACGAAGTGCGTAATTTTTAAAATGGGACTTTGTTCAAGACCTTAGTTGTTTCCCAACTTAAAGAAGAGTGAAAATTTTTCGAGATATTGGAATTTATCCAAGAACATTCGACTTCTCTTACAAAAAAAAGGAAGTCGCCACTTTTACAGGAACTATTGCAACCTGTTCTTTCGATTGAACTTTTCGTCTCAGATTTGACAGTCGTTTTTAAAATCAAAGGTTTCTAAAAAACGGTCAAAGTTTCAAAAGTTTGACATGTTTGAAAGTCATAACTTTTTTCTAAAAAAAATTGGGCGTATCCAATTATAAGAGTAGGTTTTCAACAACCTATTGTTTCGATTAAAGCTATGATATCAGATTTGGGAGGTTAGTTATCGAGAAAAGTTCAAAAACAGCCAACGAAAAAAAAATGATAATTCCGAGAATTAAAAAAAATGGGCGAAGCCACTTATGTAGAAGAGAATCACGCCACCTGCAATTTAGATTGAATCCAAAATCTCATGGGAGGGTAGTTCTCAAGAAAAATTTCAAAAACCGGTCAAAAAGTCACAAATTTGACTTTTCCCAGTGCCATAAATTTATGCGTTAAACAATTTGGGCGTAGCGGCTTATGCAGTTGAGATCTGAAACCAAAATCTTCAGATTTGAGATGAACGTTTTTGAGGAAACGATTTTTTTAAATATGGTAGAAATAGACCGCCACAGACTTTATCGAAGGCTGTAGACAGAGGGGTAAAGTAATAGAAGACTAGAGAATTATGCAGGTAGACAGGGGAGTAGGCGGTCTTTCCATTCATACCCCTTTTTTGAAAATCGATAGAATAGTTTGAGAAAAACTAAGCCATTTGCAAAAAATTAAAATCTTTTCAAAGCGTCTCAAAAAACAATTAAAAACACAACCCCATATACTAGAAGCCCAGCTAAAGCTAGAGGTACCTGTTTGATAATTTTTGAATTTGTTCTACTGATGCGGGATGGAATAGATAATTTCAAAGTTGTTGCTCTATTAAGAGATGAGTGAAATTTTTTTTGCGATTTTGGAATTTTCCCAGAAAAATTTTTTTGTTCAAAGTTGAAGGCATAGCATCTTATGCACGGAAGCTTCTCACAATATTTGCCTTGATTAAAACCTTGATATCAGATTGAGTTGTTTTCGAGAAGTCAAAAAGCGGACAAGAAATCAGAACAATGACTTTTCCGAGGGTCATAACTTTTGAGTACAATAAATGTGGGCGTATCTGTTTATGCAGGGGAGCTTCTCACATCTCGTACTACCCATTGATACCAATATCTCCGATTCGCGACGGTAGTTTTTGAGAAAATGAAAAAGTTCCAAAAAACGGTCAAAATCCAAAAATTTGACTTTTCCGAAGGGTGATAACTTTTTGTGTAAAAAATTTTTGGGCTTAACCGCTGATGCAGGGGAGCCCCCACAACCCGTTCTACCCATTGCAGCCAAAACCTCAGATTTAGGAGGGTAGTTTCCGAGAAAAGTCAAAAAGTTTCAAAAAACGGTTCAAAATCGAAAATTTGACTTTCCGAGGATCATAACTTGTTATTTAAAAAACTTTGGGCGTAACCGCCTATGCAGGGGAGTTTCCCACAACCTGTTTTATCCATTCAGCGCAAATTCTCAGATTTGGGTGGGTAATTTTCGAGAAAATGTAAAAAAAAATCATAAAATTTGAGTCAAAAATTCCCCCCACACTTATTCGAAGGCTGTAGACAGTGGGGTAAGGTAAAACATAGCCAACTTTCAGTGGAAAAGAGTCATGAACGGAACGGACAGAAAAAAATGACTTGTTTTTTCAAAAATCTTCAACTTTTGAATTTCAAAAAAAATAGATGGCCTTAAAGCTCTTTCAATTTGTAGAACAACTTGTGATGGACATTTTCATGTTAAAAATAACCTAATTTGAGAAAACTGGATAAATAGGTCAAAATTTTATTTCACTGGAAAATCTGATAAATAATTTCCACTTTCGAAATTACACATCGATCACGTATTTCGTGACCTTTACAACTTTCCTGTTCGATAGTGGAGTTTGCCATCCTTCTATCAACAGAAATGCACTGAACTTAAAAAACTTTAAAAGTCAAGCCGCGAAAAACCAAAATTGAGTGTGAACAAATTTTAGGACTTTTTCCTGAAAAAATCAGCACGACCTATATAAGAGTACCCACTACGTTCATTACTCTTGAAAGAGGCGAGCGTAGTATGCAGAGGGGCTTGGTACCACTCTTTTGAAAATCGGCAAGCAGAGTGGTTTTTGAGAAAGACGAAAACTTTCCAAAGCCTCTCAAAAAACCCGATCCCATACATTTTCATAATACCTGTTTTCAACAAACAAGAATTCTAGGCAAACCTACCAAGCAAGACTTTTGAATTTCAAATTAGCAACGGAACAAAACTTACGAAGTGGAAACAAAGCCGACAATCTTTGAGCAGACACTAGTTGAGCCGAAAAGATATTGATTTATTAACAAACTCAAAAAGTTTCAGGTCCCTCCGAAATACAATGATCAGCACTTGCAACTACCATGATATCTACTTCTAACAAAAAAAAAACTTGAGCCGATGAACAAAAGTCCGACAACTTAGGTTTTACGTGAAAAAAAAACGTTCAATTAGATACATACTGAGAAAACAAGGAAAGGCCCCAATTCGAAAGCTGGACCTAATGATGCAAAAGCTACGGCGTTACCATACGCCAATTGCAAAGGAACCTGAAAATTGTTCAGATTCAGTAATAAAGCATGATGAAAATGTGTAAGAAAAAGTTGTTTACGATGAAAAAAGTCTAGTTGTGCAATTACCAACGCAAGTGTAATTAACACCAGTTGAGCCGAAAAAAAATTCTTTGCTAAGTTAATTTAAAAAGTTTCAAGTCCCCCTGAAACAACAATGAACAATACTTGCAACTACCATGTTACCTGCTAACAAAAAAGATCCGTGATGTGCCAACTGAGCCGAAAAACTTGAGCAGATAAACTAAAATCTGAAAAACCATTTTTTTCGGGAAGTTTTTTCAATGCATATATTTTGAAAAAAAAAACAAGGACAGGCCGCTATTCGAACCCCAAACCTTATGGTGCAAAGGTGACGGCGTCATCTCTAGGCCAAAAGCGAAAGAACCTGAGTTGTTAACATTCAACACAGAGGCAAAGCTGCGCTTTGCAAATATTAGCGAGACCAGGAAAAAAACAGCTCTATTAAGTGCAATAAAAAAGTAAGATTAGCCTCGAATCAGTAAAAATTCGTCTAGGTCTTGGATAAATCTCCGCTCTAGAGAATAAGAGTCTCACGCACTAACCACTCAGCCGCAGACGCTTAATATTACTCAAACACAAGCCATAAACAAAGTAGAAAACAGATGCTATAAAATTTCAAATTTCCAATGCTACAGATCGTGATTATAGCAAAACTGCCACAAAATAAGTGAGCAATTTTCCACTTTCAATGAACACTTTTATTTGCGAGTTAGATTTGAAAAAAGAAGGTTCGTACTAATACACTAGCTGCTCGCAAGTGTAATGATAAAGCAAGTTAAAAATTTGAAAGAAAACAAATTTACGGGAAAAAATTTCCGATTACAAGGCGCTTGTTTTCGCAAGTGTAATTAGCGTATGTCTAGAACTCGCTCGTCTGTCAAGTCAACTAAAAATGATAGCTTAAGGGAAACAATTAACGCTAGTCTACAAAAATGCATATTAAATGAAATTATGCAGTTTGGTGCATTGGTCATGATCTCTTCATAAATCCGTACACCAATTCTTACTTGAAACTTCCAAGAATAAATCTAATCACGTTTGAGACATGAAAATTGACAAATTATTAGAGAACATCAGAAAAATTTAGCTATAAACCCTTACCGAATCGACCGGTTAAAATGGCCTTGTGTTCTGCGGCTGAGCTGTTACCACGCACTGATGTCCCAGCCATAATCTGGTTGAGGTCGTCTTGTGAAGGGGGTTGTGTTTTGCCACTGCTGGACAAGTGAAGAGTCTCCAGCTGACAGGACACAGAGGAAAAGTAGGTGGTGTCATCTGAAATCAAACAAGAAACATTCTTCGAGAAAAGAGACAATATCGCAACACTATCGACGGCAAATGAAGATGTTTTCCGAGCAAGAAAAATCAAAAAGACTTAATTTGAATAAATATGACCATGTCAAGCTTTTCTACAAAAAACTTTTGATCAAAAAATAGCTTATATACTAATGGTCGAGAACCCCGCAACACAAATCTACTTCTTCATGGTCCCATAACACAAGAATATCGATCAAATAACTCCCAACCACCCCCTTCCCAGATTTACGGCTGGGAGAGACCCAACTGAAACCAACCGGAATCAAACGAACTGATTTACAAGAAAAACGAGCCGTTTCCAAGAGCTCCAATTCAAAAAATTACTTTCAGCGCATATAACGCAGTCTGCATTAAATTGTAAGAATTTAATGCGAATTTGAAGATGAAAACAACAACTTTAATCTCAATTTTGGCATGATATTAATGAAAATTGATCTGAAGTGGCCGAATAATTTTTTTTGGCCCTCAACACCAGTCTTCTGGTAATTTACCGCAGAGTTCAGTATCGATAGGTGAAACGAATAAATAAACTGTTTGTCTTCTTCTACCTCTCCACCCCCCAAAAAAACTCATCCACATAACAGCATGTTAAATGCATTCTTTTTCAGCCAATCAGAATGCGGCATTTTGCATATTCGCATTACTGTTTTAATTTGCCGTTTAATTTTAGGGGTGACGTTGAATTGGTAAGTTTAGGAGAGAAACTGTTGACGAGGTCCAAAAGAAGAGAAACTGTTCACGTGGTGGAAACTGAAAACAACCAACTTGGAAATGTGACTTCCATGTTGAGACTGGAAGAGGTGGTTGAAACTGCGACCGTTTTCTCCCCACCCTCCAATCCCTCTTCTCGACCAGCTGATGTTCCCGATGATGCCTGACTTCCTGCTTCATTGCAGATATTCTACATAAAAAGAAACATAGCCAACTGACAGTTGGAAAAGAGTAAAGAACGCAAATAAACAAAAAAACATATCAAACTAACAGTTGGAAAAGAGTAATGAACGCAATGAAACTGAAAAAAAAACCCAACTTGTTTTTTTCAAGAGCATTCAACTTTTGAATTACAAAGAAACAAATCATGGTCTTAAAGCTCTTTGAATTTGTAGAACAATTTATGATGGACATTTGTTGTTAAAATTAACCCAATTTGAGAAAATTGGATCAATATGTAAAACATTTATTTCGCTGGGAAATCTGATAATTAATTTCCATTTTCGAAATCAGAAGTCGATCATGTTCATCATGACCTTTACACTTTTTCTGTTCGATAGTGGAGTTTGACTTCCTTTAAACAAAGGAAATGAACTGAACTTGAAAAAAATCAAAAGTCAAACCGCAAAAAAGTTAATTTCAGCGTGAACAAATTCTAAGACTTTTCCCTGAAAAAAAAAACAAAACATCCAGACCTATATACGAGTACTCACTACATTCATTACTGTTAAAACTAAAATAAAATTTTACATCGATACAGTAACTTTAACAATATATATGCGAACAAACGGCGACAGCTACAAATTTTTTAATCCTCAATTGTATTCATAGCTTTTCCAACATTCTAAGCATCACTTAAATGCTCAAAAAATAAAGAATAGTAGAAACACACCACAACTGGCGCTGTGTCATTTTCGGCGAAAATTTCTGGGTCAGATGATCTCGGTTTCTTCTCTTGGCTTCCTTGGGGCGATGATGACAAGAAATTGGGCTGCTGCTCACTTCCAGACACAGTTGCTTCTCTTGGTCGTTTTTCACCACGCACAGACACCGGTAGAGTATTCCCATCTTCATCTGACTTTGACCCCGATTGAACTCCTTGTGATAGTGGTGTTGATGAATGTTTCGGGGAATTAGAGTTGTCCATCTGCTGGTTCAGAGAAGAGTCGCCAATGATTCGATTTGGCTCAGCCGTTACTGCCACAAAAAAGAGTTAAAAATCACATATAGAATCTGAACTCTTGGGAACATATTAGCAACCACTCTAAGTTATGTTTGTTATGAGTGGCAATGTTTTGAGACAAAAACTGAATTTGAATAAAAGTGTTGCTGATCGGAATACTATATATTTCTTTTGCAGCTCAAAAAACCCAATTTCTCATTGGAGCTGTTTGGTTTTTCCAGTCTTCGAGACACATTCCTTGCGCTTAACTTCTTTAAAAAATCGAAATGCCATTTACAAGACGTTAAACACTGCAAAAGAGCAATACAAAAAATATTTCAACAAGGAACGAGCTATAGAAACTAAAAACAAAGAATAATTTGATCTGGAGATGTTTTAAACATCATCTTCAGCAGTGCTTCGAAAAACAAAAGAATAATAAACTTACTCATTCTGGGCGGCACAACATACTCCGGCTTCCATTCTGAAGGTGGTTTGGGAGGGGGAGGCACTTCTGCCACCTGTGCAGAGCTACTCTGCTCGTATCCAACTGAATCCCCACTCAACCCCCCTACTGTGTACCCTCTGGGGGGCAAAGGGGGCCACTGACCAGCCCCCCTCGTCACTCTACTCTTCGTTTGCATCTCAAGTTCCGTTTCTCGCTTGGCTCTCAAATCCTCCTCTGTTACAACCGTGTCGCCTGTATTCCGCCTGATCTCCAGGTCTATCGCCACCTGGCTGTATTTTGGTTCCGAGACACTCCACTTTGGATCTGAGGACGGAATTGGAGGAATGTCGAAGCGCTTCAGAAACGCCTCAACATTGTGACACCCTGGCTCCTTGTTGAAGTACTTTACTAGTCCGTCGATGAACAAAACTAAGTTATCTCTGTCGCCAAAACTAAAACAATTCACATTCACTCGCTACACAAATAGTTTGACTTGGTCTGAACGAAAAAGATACTGGAAACAAATATTACGTCATTCTCTTACAAAGTCGAAACAATTAGATATACTAGCGCTTGAATCGTACCCACGGTACGTCAAACAGATTGTGGAACCTCGAAAATAAAGTTATTTCATACCATAAAAAGCTTCATGGTCGTATTAAAAACACTTCACGGTCGCAGCATTTTCTTCAAAATCTATTGCAACTTCAGGTTCGTGATTTTTTCAAATAACTATACTCTGAAAAAAAAATCATTCTTCATTCGACAACACCCTGCCGCTTGCTATAGCAGCTCAAATTCATAGATAATATCCGTTTACAAAACAACCAAATTTAACGGTTACCAAGAATGCTCGTACAAGTTCAAAAAACTTGATATTTTTGAACTTACATGTTCAAATTTTATATTTTGAGTGCTATAGGAAATTATTATGACCAGCTTGACTCAAATCAATTTGCAATTATTTTGAGTGCAGAGTAACTCGCCACGCTCACATAACTCGCACGCACGCTTTATTTTTCATCATCATAGATAAATTGATAAAATCAACTTTCGATTTCCAAAAACAATCTGTGCCCTAAAAACCCTTTGAATTTCAAAATCAAATTATAATCGACAGTTTTTGATAAAATTAACCCAATTTGAGAAAATTGGATCATTACGAAAAGTTTTTACTCCGCTAAGAAATCTGAAAATTAAAAACCACATTCGAAACCAGAATTCGATCACGTTTGCTGTTCGATAGTGGAGTTTGATTTCCTTTTAACAAAGGAAAAAACTGAACTTAAATAAAATCAAAAGTTATAACCGCGAAAAATCAACGCTAAGCGTGAATAAATTTCAACAATTTTTCCTTAAAAACCAACAAATTAATCATCAAGACCTATGCAAGACTCTTCACTACGCTCATGAAAAGCTGAAATAGACCAAATCATGGTTGACGAAATTACAACCAAAGTACAAAAAAAATTCGAATAGAAAATTGTATTCAGAGTACGGACGTGTATTTAAAATTTACGAAAAAATACAACTGAAAACTGGAAATGAAGGTTTTCGAACTAAAAAATCTTTTGATATATTTCATTATGATAACACAAAAAACCTAAAACAACTATTCATTCCCATAATTTGACATAACCGCGCAAGTTGCTTAACCCTATATACAAGATTTGGTACGAAAAAAATCGGATAGCAAAAAAAAAACGGATGAAAATTTTCAAGCAGCTCGAATAATTTATAAAAGTGCTATAGGAAATTATTATGACCAGCTTGACTCAAATCAATTTGCAATTATTTTGAGTGCAGAGTAACTCGCCACGCTCACATAACTCGCACGCACGCTTTATTTTTCATCATCATAGATAAATTGATAAAATCAACTTTCGATTTCCAAAAACAATCTGTGCCCTAAAAACCCTTTGAATTTCAAAATCAAATTATAATCGACAGTTTTTGATAAAATTAACCCAATTTGAGAAAATTGGATCATTACGAAAAGTTTTTACTCCGCTAAGAAATCTGAAAATTAAAAACCACATTCGAAACCAGAATTCGATCACGTTTGCTGTTCGATAGTGAAGTTTGATTTCCTTTTAACAAAGGAAAAAACTGAACTTAAATAAAATCAAAAGTTATAAGCGCGAAAAATCAACGCTAAGCGTGAATAAATTTCAACAATTTTTCCTTAAAAACCAACAAATTTATCATCAAGACCTATGCAAGACTCTTCACTACGCTCATGAAAAGCTGAAATAGACCAAATCATGGTTGACGAAATTACAACCAAAGTACAAAAAAAAATCGAATAGAAAATTGTATTCAGAGTACGGACGTGTATTTAAAATTTACGAAAAAATACAACTGAAAATGAAGGTTTTCGAACTAAAAAATCTTTTGATATATTTCATTATGATAACACAAAAAACCTAAAACAACTATTCATTCCCATAATTTGACATAACCGCGCAAGTTGCTTAACCCTATATACAAGATTTGGTACGAAAAAAATCGGATAGCAAAAAAAAACGGATGAAAATTTTCAAGCAGCTCGAATAATTTATAAAAGTCGGCCATGTCTGTGAAACTACAATTTGGAGTTTCATGTTTCAACCTCAAAATTGAAACCCTTATGTTGAGTGCTCGCGACCGTTAAAATTTGTATCACAAATCTATAATTTTCAAAAAAGACTGAAAATTAACAATGGCACTTTTCGTTCTTAAATGAAATGAAAGCGTAGTTAACAAATACATGTCTTTAGATTACCTGAAGACAGAAGCCAGTTCGCTTGATATTTCTTTCCAGTCCTCCAGAAGTTCCCTTCCTATGTAAAACTCTTTTCCGTTGCAGAAAATATTCTTTGCCATTTTCTCTCTAATCACATTCTGATATGTATAAATAACTTCGATCTCTTTGCATGCGTAGAAGCTCAACGACTGCAACTTTTTACTCAGCAAGTTTTTCCGAATTTCATATTTCTCGTTCATGCGTTTACGGATGTATCGTTGCACCAAGGGAGTCACGAAATATACAAATTTATGGACCACGCTACAGGTCCATAACTGGCCGGGGATTGTATTCTCCTGTATGGCCTCACTCAAATAGGTGAAACGACCATCAATCAGAGCCATGATTTTTTCTTGAATCTCAGGCGCCAGTTCCAGAAAACTTGAGTGAATGATTCTCAAATCTTCATGAGATTCGAACATCGTGTACGGAATTGAACTTTGATCGTCTGGTAGTAGTAGATGATCATCTGCTAAACAGGCTAATTTACCATTACTACACGGCAAACAAGCATCACTCTCTAGGATCTGATCAGCCGACAGAGAAATAAGCAGAAACAGATCTTCAATTCTGTTCTCACGCTTACTAACTATTCTCGTCATGTCGATTGAACTTGTTAAGCTCATCATTAACTCGCGATACACTTTTGGTGGCGGTTCAGCCAACGCTCCGACAGCTTCGAAAAACGGTCCCAATAACCTGTAGGGCCGCATGGAACTGAACATGGTTACATTTAACACACTCAGTGATTTATGTTTGTTCAAAACTTGTTTGTATTTTTCAAACAGACCACTGTGATCTCCCATAATTAAGTGGTCCACAGTTACAAAGTGGAACGCACCATCTACGCGAGGATTCGGCAGATAAAAAAGAGGCTCATTTTCTAGTATCTCGCATCGATCATCTATATTATTCTGAAGGAAATTGTAAATACTAGCCATGTGTTCTAAACTAGTCTCAAAAGAAGCATCCTGTGAACATTTTCGCAGGTACTCTAAAACTATATCTGCAGTCAAGTTCAAATTTATGCCAAGAAATTTCACAAATTCTGGACTCGAATTGATAGGTAAATTCGCTTCTAATAACTGAACATCTGCGGGTCTGAATAGCTTCTTGGCTTCGGAAGTGTTCACGAACACATCTCGAGGAACGGACAAAGTTGGAATAGTACCTTCAACCGTAGGCACCCAACTAGACTGCAAAAGTGCATTAGCTAGTGCCGAATTAACAAGTTTCACAGTTCCAAATTTCCCATCACTGATTCTAGCGAACAGATATTCACTAAGTCGACGCCAATAATGACTGACTATCGTAAACAGCTGCATATACTCTGCACGAGTCACGTTGTTTGTTGTGTTTTTCAAAATATCAATCAACTCACAGTCGAAATCTGTGCAAGTTTCAGTCGAACCATCTTCACAGGGAATTTCAGTCTTGACTTCTCGAAATTGGAAAAAGTCTGTGACGCCCAAACGCGAGAAAAAGTCAAATGCCTGTTTTGAAGTGCAACCTTGGTTTGTATTTTTGTAACTCAAGTATCCCTCGTGTAAAACTCTGAAGCTTGTCGACTTAAAAACCGACATCAAAACTATTTTCGGCTCGAAATGATGATGAAAATAAACAGACAAGTTAGTGCCAACTTCTGAAGCTTGCACTATTTTGGTTTCTTCGTTTTTGCGAGTCAAAACTGGAAAATCGATCAAAAATTTCTTGATTGATTCTTGATCTACCGAATTATAAACATCGTTCCAAGCACGAATGAGAAAAACGGTGTAGTCACATAAGCTTTCGTGGGATAATTTGGCCCAGGTATCCTTCTTAGAAAGCACGTCAAATACATGATACTTTGCCAGCTCCCTGCAGCTCGCGACCTTGACCCCGATTCTGACCAGCAGTTTCTGGATATCCTGGTTGATTTTATTTTCCTTTTCAAGCAATAGATTCTGGTCGACCACTTTTAGAAGAGTCAGCTTCCTAAGCATCACTTGATTCTGCTCCGAGTTGCAAAACAAATCTGGGTTGTTTTCAACTGAAACCCATTCTTCTTCAGCCAGCGGAACAAATTCAGTCTTCTTCAAGGTTGAAATACAAGCTGAGTTGAGTTGATGACTAAAATTGGCAGTCATCGTCAAGAGAATGCTCTTTATAGTTTCCATTTTCTCGTTCTGGGATAAATTTGCACTTTGGGATGAGCAAATGTATTCGAGTGTGACTAGAAGATCATTTATGCCAACAGTGTGAAGACCTAGTTGTTTCACGACAGCTGGCCGCAATCGATCCAAGTCTTTATGGGCAAGTTTCCATCCGGTGGCTCTGGTGAACAGTCCAGTATCTATAAACCCACTTGACAATAAATTTTCACCGAGCTGAATAGCTTCGCACGCTAAACACAAACCACCGTCGACCGTAGGAATAATTGGCTTACTTCTAATAAGCTCGCATATCTTTTGAGCCACTGGTTTGAAATAACCGAAAGTTTCATTGGGCAGCGGGAGGAAGTTCAAAAATGCGATTGCAGCATGCACCGAATTTTGCAGAATGTCTACGAAGCTGTTCATATTTTCCAGAAACAGTTGCGGGATTTGAAGAGATAGCCACTGGTTGAAGGCCGAGTCCATGTCTAGATCCTGTCTCGACGAGGGAATTTCAAAATCAGCTTGAACGATGAATTTCAGCCCAAAATCTCTGACCGGTAAAAATGCAAACGCACTTTGGGTTTGGCGGAAATTGAACGTACAGGTCTTTCCATCCGACGACTTTTCCAAAGGGAATGCGAAACAGATCTCAGTTTCCTCTAACTTCAAGTTCAGATGCAGGGGAACATCGACCGAAAATGTCTGCAGCAAATAAAATTGGGAGGCTTTTGCCGACTCTATGCAAACAACGTTGTCAACTAGCTTTCGTTTTTTGAAGACCACTGTTTTTGTTTTCGCAACATCAACATTGTTTTCGTCCACGATCGTTCCAGCAGTATCGAAATGTATCACAATTTTTTGCAACTTGTTCAAAAACAACAACAAGCTAGGCTCGATTTGGGTCAATTTAGTTTCGAATGCGTCCAATTTGGTCGTTTCCTGGGTGGAGAAAGGCAGCACTATTTTTGTTGAGAAATCTTTCCCACCATCTGAACTTACCTCATTTAGCATCTTTTCCTCAGCAGTCGACAAAATGGTGTCTTCTTCGTCAATCCACAGTGGTTTAATCATGCCTGAAAGAGATGTTAAATATCCACAAAGGCTAATCAAGCTTCGCACCTCTTGCCAAATTTCACAAAAATACCATTTCAAGTAGTAGATAAAAATCAAACGAAAGCCAAAGTGGGTATTTTTTGGTTGTATCTCAAATGATGTCCAATTTGAGGAGGAAACTGTTCTCATAAAAACTTTGAGCTACTAAGTACTGATATTCCAAAACTTAAAGCTCGTCCGAAAAGAAAAATCAGTCTTCATACTTTTTTGTTGACTCAAAATTAGGTCGCTAAGAAAATTCCATGAAGTGACAACTGGGCGACAAAACATAAACAGACAGAAGATGTGACGACAAAAGTTCTGAAACTGATACTACCCAACTTCTGGTCAACAAGTTTAATTTTTCAACTCACTTTTCAAACTTTCTAGAATTACAAAGAAAATAGAATGGTTTTAAGTCTTAACTTGAGACGAAATCCAGTGACAAGTAACTCAACATCAGGCGTGACAACTAGGCAAAAATTAGTGTCGCTTTTCAAGTTTTCGGAACACATTCGTTGTTTGCCAAGGACGAATAGCTTCACGTATGTCAAAGTTCATATTCCGTTTCAGTAGAACTGAATAATAATCTTATACGCGAAGTTACATGAAGCTATGCGTATAAAAAAAGCTATTTCGAAATTATATACGGTGATGCTAAATTATGAAATGTCATGTTTTAAACACTTGTCTAGACTAGTCTATAACAAACACATATACCAAACATATACCATATTTCTAGCAAAAAGTTTGATCAAACAAAAATACATCTATTACTACCAACCAAGTTTCTAAGTTTTCTGCTGTTTTTAGAGTTTTGAGAGAAAACTAAATTCAGTTTGAGAAAACAAATATAGTAAAACATTAAAAAAGAGATGCGAGAACATAATAAGCAATACAAATGAAATCAGACGGAAGGCACAGGGTCTCAAAAAATATTGAGTTCGAGGGAAGCATGTCGAGAAACACAATTTCTTAAGTTCACCTAGCATTGAGACAATGTACCAAAGCTGCAACTAAGCTAAAGCCTAGTCTGCCGAAAAATTTTGCAAAATTTTGAATCTAAATTTTTAAAAGAACCTGAAGTTTCCATGCATGCCACCGCCCTGATTAAAACACACGCCTGAAAACCTATTTTTACCCTTCAAATGACGCAATATGAGATGACTATGTCAATAAGACGAAAGCATTTAAACTGAACAAAAGTTAAAAGCGAAAAAAATGTAGTAAATAACACATAATCTTGTGCAACACACTTAACTAGCTTCTTTGTGATTATGTTTATCGATTGCAACGAAACAATCATTTTTCGAGAATTGAACAAATTCGAAAAAAGTAATAAATTTCCATGGGTTGCCAATTTTTTTCCATTAGGTCAAATTGGGTGCCTCTCCAGTGCACTTTACCTTTATCATTTTTATTAAGAATTTTATTTTTACTGATGTTAATACTTCTCGTATTATCAATTTTATTGTCAAATTTAGTTTTATGCTGCGACGACATCAACCCAAATCCAGGTCCAATTGTACAATTTAATGACATATCGGAGAGACCAAACGATTACAAAAACAACATAAAAATTCTACACCTTAACTGCAGGAGTTTAGTACAAAAGATCAAATCTAAAAAAACTAGTAAATACATGTGGATTAAACACAATTTATGGGTTCTTTGAGACATGACTCTAATGATAACAACTTATGGACACTAGAAAGTGATCATTTTGTCTCCTTTCGAGGTGATAGATCAGCAGTCGCAAGCAAAAAACACCGCCCTGATTAAAACACACGCCTGAAAACCTATTTTTACCCTTCAAATGACGCAATATGAGATGACTATGTCAATAAGACGAAAGTATTTAAACTGAACAAAAGTTAAAAGTTGTCTCCTTTCGAGGTGATAGATCAGCAGTCGCAAGCAAAAAACAAAAGGAGGGGGCGTCATGATACTCATTCCTAAAATCTTACACCCAAAACTACGCACAGATCTAAACTTATTTCATCAAAAGTATGACAGCATCTGGGTAGAATTTAAAATATCAAAGAACAAAACTGAAAGATCAACACTATTAAATATTTCCTATATTCCAAATAAATCTAACAAAACGGAGTTTGTCCATGAACTTGCTGTCAGTTGACACAATACTATAATTCAATTATTGTTCTCTTGGGCGACCACAACTTCAACTATTTAAATACTGAAGAAAAAGAATCCTTGGATACAATTTTCACGCCCTATAACTTAGAAGTTGTCAATAAATCAACACCAACTCATTCAAAAACACTGATTGACTATATTATCCCAGATTTAAACCCAACCAAATTGAAGAACAAAGTTTTAAAATTCACTCCACCAATTATAACTGATCACTCAGCTACAATTTTGATATCTGAATTGAAGTTAGTTGATAAAACTGTGCAGTTTAAGCGCACCATCTACGATAGATCAAAATTTTCAGAAAAAGAATTTAAAACTGCCCCAACAAGCATTACTTAGAAGTCTTTCTACAGGCAAAATAACCCTGAAAAATGTTCAACGTTTTAAGTCCCAATATAGCAAGCTGCCTGAAAAGATGATAGTTACATATCGAAATTATTTAATCCTATAACAACTGAGTGACAGAAATGGAATATAATAAATGACACAAAAAACTCGAAAAATCAGCAAACGAAATCACACTACTAAAAAATTCATTTGATGAAGCAATAACAAACAACTTCAAAATGACAAACTTTTCGAATTACAAGTTTTCTAGACTCTTGTTTTACAAGTTTTATTACAAGTTTTCTAGATGTTTTACAAGTTTAGAATTACAAGTTTTCTAGATGTTTTTTGAAGCAAAAAATTATAAAAACGTAATTGATTCAACCATCAAAAACAAGGACCAAAATGGAACCTAAACAAAAGTTTTCTTTCCGGTTTTGAAGTGAAATTGAAGGTAAAAAAGAAATAACAAATTTAAACGCAAATAAACCACCCGGAGCTACTCTGATCTTCCAGCCTGGGCTCTGAAAGATGGGTGTAATTTATTTTCAACTAGACTCAAAAGAGGTATTGTTACTCCAATATACAAAAAAGATGACGCAGAAACAACAGAGAATTTAGACCAATCTCCATAACAGGTCCAATCTCTAAAGTTTTTGAGAAACTACTATACAAACAAATCAATGAATACTTTCAAACAAATCAATGAAAACCCAATTTGATTTTAGAACCTCATATTCAACGATGGACGCCATCCTTTATTGCACTGAGTTCTTTCGCAAATCAATGGATGAAAACAAATATGTTTCGTGTCTTTATTAGATCTATCAAAAGCTTTCAATTCTATCAACCACGAACATTTAAAGAACAAATTGAACGATTTGAGACTTTCTGAATCAGCAATTAAAATGATTCATAGCTTTATAAATAATAGACAACAGAAAACTGCAGTAAATAATACTGAATCCAATTGGATCTCACTTCACCGACGCGTACCTCAAGGTACAATTTTGAGACCGCTAATTTTCAACCTATACATAAATGACTTTAACCGAATCTTGCAAAGTGGTACAATATGCAGATGATACACTACTAATTCGTGATGATAATGACATCAAAAATGCTCTATAGCAATTGCTAAAATCCTGTCAGAAATTATCTCTGTACTTCACAAAACATTCTCTAAAACTGAGAACAAAGAAAACTGAGTTGATGATATTTGACAAAAAACATCAAAGCAGAAACCACAATTCAAAGTTCAGTATAAAATTAGATTATTACAAAATATAAGAAAAGCCAGAAGTTAATCATCTAACAAAGAAAAACTCGTCTGGGACAAAAGCCAACAAGACGCTTTTAAGGCCAAGTTAAAACTAATATCGGATAAAACCATGATGTATCACTACGATCCCAAGAGAAAATCAAGAATCATATGTGACGCCAGCCACAGTGGATTAGAGGCGGCTCTCATCAACAACTCACGGAGGATACACGGGTACCGATATCGTTCGCATGTAGATTTCTTAACACCCAAGAGAAGAAATATAGTACCAACGAACTAGAATTATTAGCAATAGTTTGGTCTTGCGAACACTTCAGGAATGGCCTTTTAGGAAACAACTTCGGAATACTCACTGACCACAGAGCGATAATTTCAGCCTTAAAAACCAACAGAGGTAAAAAAAAAATCATACCAATCAAGACTCACCAGATGGGCAGATAGGCTACTATCGCTCAATTTCGACATATCACACACCTCGGGTTTAAATTAGGAATAATTGAGTATTTATCCGGTTGCCCTGCATTCGCAGCACCTGAGCGCTCTAATTTTGACCAACAGTTTGTAGTTAAATCAATAAAAAATTTCTTTTCAGCTTGTGATACTCAAAAAGATTATGAAGGAAGGAAGTTTCAAATACGGAAATAAGACACCCACAATCCTCATTCATTCAGATTCGGTAGACAAGGGTTTATTTATCCCCAAAACTCCAAATTTAGAAGCCCAAAACTTTCAGCCAATCAAATTTATTAAAAATTGTAACGATCGGAAAACATTAAGGAGCCACAGATTTCTAAATAAAAGATCTTACCAATCAAATGCAAGCAAAACCGGCATTAATACACAAGGGGTCGAAAAAATTTTGACTGAAAATTATATCCAATCAGATTCAAGGAAAGGCGGCACGACTCCGCAAGAGTGCGTAAAAATGTTAACCTGAAATTCTACCCAATCAGAATACTAACTTATGCACAATCGGTGGAGTGCGCCGACTATGTACATATATTCCAACCAAAACAGACTTAAATATGCAAATATATACAGATGCTCACACTCAACCAATCAGATCACTCGAGTTTTATTTATGCACAGCTGCTAGAGGGTGAACAATTATGCGGATCAGCTGTAGATATGCAAACTATTCACGCAATTTCTCACAACCAATCAGAAGCCAGATCCAATTCAGCTGAGATCTCATCCAATTCTCACATCATTTCTGGCAAATCTCTGCCAATGTCAACAACGAACAAATATCAACCAATCAAATCAATCCAGTTGAGTTCTAACTAGTACATTCCTTTTTCAGATATGTCGTCCAATGAATGGAGAAAACCATACACGAACGATAGTTTTGAACGCCTTCTCAACGAGGTAGCTCCCATCGCAGTGGACCTATTTGCGAGAACAAGATCTATGAGAAGCCCACACAAAAGAGAAGAAGATCCCTACTGAAAATCAAGTATGTCCAAATTCTGGCATATCTAAGACTGAAAAGAGGGAAAATCGCAACCACGCAGAGGAGGGAGGCACAAGTGAACAGAATAAACACGTCCCAGCCGAAGAAATTCGTCGCAGAAGATAAGAAGTTGCTCATAGGATTGACAGATATTCTCGATGCGGTCATTTTGTCACAACTGGTCGACCCAACCTACCGACTCATGACACAGGCGATTCTGAGCAAAGATTACGATGGATTTGCGAAAATAGATCCATGCATCAATTCTTTCTGGAACACGGCAGCAATAGTAGACGGCTGCATCGTCATCGACGACCGCATCGCTATCCCCTCTTGTCTTCAGAGAGCAGTAATAACGAGACTCCACAGATGGCACCCCCGACAGGAAGCCATAGTGGATGCATCGCAATATAACTGGTGGCCAAGAATAAACAGACATCAACTGAATGTGCAAGGAATGCAAGGAGTGCACCCTATTTGATTCCAGAAACCTAGAAAGAGACGGGCTAACCGCAGAACAGAAGAGGCAGAACTGTGGCAGCAGACCAAGGGTGAAGACAGTCAAGAAAGGGTCCAGAAGTCCAGATGTCTCACCGAGTTTCAGAGGTCCCACTACATCAATTTCACAAACACCGTACTATCAGGCTCTAGAAAGGTTGGCAAAGTCAGCTAGTGAATGGATGACAATGAAGAAAGCACTCACTCAGGAACAGGAAGCAGAAAAAAGAAGACATTGAAGGACAGAAACCATATATTGGCAGCATCACTTAGGAGAAATCTCACTTCGTAATCAGATCCGACGTTCCAGGATCAATCTTACTTCGAGATTCAGATCCGACGTTCCCAAACTGGCAAATTCAAAATAACTTATTTCTTTCGGATCCGTCTAAAGTAGAAGTGTTTCGTAAAATCCTAGACAGGAGATCCGGCAAAAAAATATTCAGACCTTTCAACGAGCATATTGTAAAGTTTTTAGAAAATACATACACGACAGCATCGGGCAAAGTCATCTGGAAAAAACATATAGCAATTAGGTTAAAAAATAATTCTCTTTCAAGCAAACAGAGTTCCTCAAAGCAAACCACGCTGAAAAGGACCATGAGCACACGATAGCACAACGACGTCGGAAGATGATTTAACCCTACTTTGTCCTCAGCCAAAAAACTAACATCAAAGACGACATTCTTGCCACCTTTACACAGCTACCTTCTCGTCTAAGGAAAATTGCACCAAAATCGATCGAGGGAACGTCCGCCACAGACAAACCATCCTTCTCAGGAGCAGGAATGAGGCCGGTCGTCACCCGTCGTAGATTTGACATTATCTTCAAGCTCAGGAGGGGTGATTCCACCCCCGATCGCAAAATCCTCATCAGCCACCGTTCAGATGGGATCATTAGCCCAGATCGGGACATCAGCACATCATCCTACTGCAGAAAATTCATCAACAACAACCCAATCCGAAACTAAAAGAAAAACTAAGCCAGAACCTGAAAAAATGACGACTATGACCCCGCTGGATGCATCGTCGAGTTCAACCTCGAAGCCAAAACATCGGAACCACAGAATTTGATACCGGTCTCGTAGGAAAGAGATGAACAGATACAAAGCACACAATTTCACCAACAGCCACAACAATGCAAGATGAAGGTGTCCAAGCAGAAGAAACAGAAAAAGTCCCCTTCTCCGGCTATAGACGATATAGAAGACGACTCAGCTTCTAACTCTTCTATGATATCAGGAAGATCGAAGAGACAGACGCATTTCTACGGAAGCCCAATCAGACATGCGGTGAAAGAGATTTCCCAGAGCCAAAATAGTTACCTGTCTCCCAAAACGCCACCCAATGTAGATAACATTGGGGGGAAGGATCTGTCATCTTCTCCACCAACTCCGAAAGGAACCATGAGAGTATTCAAAATATCATTTCAAAAAGGAATAGAAGGGAAGCGGAAATAAATTTGAGACTGAAACTAAAACTTTGAACTTGACATTTTGAAAATAATTTGTTAGCGCTGTTTTTTTTTTAATTTTCCATATCAGTGACACTCCAAATTTAAAAAGGGGGGAAATGTGGTACGGCATACAAGGTCATGTCTAGCCGACAATCAGATGAGTATTAATTAGAGTGCTGCTTAATGAGTCAAGGTCGGGGCAGGTCTCCCACAGCAACCACATATGAAGTGAAAACCATAATCATTCTCTGTCGGAATACCGTTGAAAGAATTCAGTATTTGTCATGCTTTATTTATGTAACTAATTTCAATCAACCAATCTCAATTCACAACTATAACATTTAGTTTTATTCAATTAGTTAGTAGATAGATAGGTTGGCATTCCGCAAACAGGAACCCAAAGCCCATACCTAATATGCAACTACTACATACTACACTCACTAACCATGGTGCCAATGAAATGATTCAGGGAATGGAAAAAAGTTGTTTACGGAAAAAAGTCTTGTACCCGGTTGCACTATCTTTGCTTAGCATAATGGCAATGACATGACTATCAATTAACTATCAATTTGACATTCCTATGTCAAATATTATGTCAAAACTTCGCAAGGCGAGTTAAATAAATAGCTTCAAAAAATGTGACATAGCAATCTCAAGCTTGGGTAATTAAAAACTCAAAGAACTAAAATACTTTAAAACTTACCCAAAGGCCCGTTATTTACGTCGAAGCAAATGTGAAATCCATTAGAATGGATCTGCGGTCTGTCAGTCACTCGGAACACAGACTTGAATCCGATTCCCTTTTGTCCAATTAATCCTTTCCTGTGTTTTCCCTTAGTCGTTTTGCCAACGTCACACAAAGCTCTGATGTTTTGAGATTCAAAGCCGGTTTCGTTGTTAAACACTGTTAGTTTCTGCGAATCGAGGGCGAAGATTAACGTCGGCTCTAAATTTGAATCTGCAACGTTCAAATTGTAATTATTATCGTCGGCATTCTGAATAAGTTCAAGGATAAAATGCACGTCTTGAGAGTACAGTTCTTTTGAAAGTCGCTCTAAGCTCCTGCCGATTCGCTCTTGATGTTTTTCCAATAGAACTCGGGCTTCGCTGTTCATTTCGATGCCCTCGCCGAACTCTTCGTTCAAAATAACGTCAACTATTTTCCTGCAACTTTCTTCTCTATCCAATTTAATCCTCAACTCAATCTGCTCTTTGTCCGATTTTGTGATTGAAGTTACATCAGCTGAATCTTTTTCAGTTGTCTGCACCGATGATGTTTCAGCTATTGGACTTGACCTCTTTTCAAATGATCCGCTCAGACTAAATTTAAAACCAGTTCGGTCGGTTTCTTGATTGTTTTCAACACTTAAATCAACAGATTGATCATGCCAATTTGATTCGTTAATTAGCGCAGATACCCATTGTTTTTCGCCCATCACGTTTCCAACCATTGCCAATTTTAATAATTTGGAAGAATTATTTTCAGCTATCACACAATCCATCATTTTCGATTCCAAATCACACAACCCCACCTTCTCGGCAACAGGTTTAAGCAAGTTTGAAAAAATAGGGGGCACATAGATCAAAGGCAAAACGCTTACAGCAGACGCAATAAACTCATGTAGCAGATTTCGCTGGAGTAAAACGTTGAAAGATGCATGAAGTTCGGATTGACATAACTGAAATGGGAAACTTTTCACACCACCTGTTGAAATTATCAGTGAAACAAGCAGAGCTGAAAACTCTCTGCCATTTTGCCTCTCAACAGATTTGCGGCAGGCTTCGTAAGAACACTCGAACGGGATTTTAACCACTTCGAAATCATCAAGACGCAAAAACTTCACGTTTTTAGATCGGAAAAAGCTGTCATTTTGTTTCAAAAATTTGTCCAAACTACCCAAAGTTGCTCTGAAAAACTCGCTCCACTTAATTTTAGACGATATACTTTCGAGATGTTCGATTTCTAGGATTTTACTCCAAGCTAGCTGGGTCAATTCTTTTTCCTCCATGACAGAACTTGACAGGTCAACCGAGGTTGCAAAAGATCCCGCGTAGGGAATCACGTCATCAGTTTCATCAAAAGGAATCTCAATCATTTCTTCGACTTGATGTCTTATATCCTCGTCATGCTCTGTTTCAAGGTCAAAGCTTCTTTTCAAAGACTCCATTATTTGTTCAACACTTGATTCTGGTTCGATTTTCTGAACAAATTCTCTCAATTTTTTCAAATTTAGTCCACAGCTATTTTCGAAAATATTCTTAACTGCTTTATTGTCATTTCCAATTGACTCTGAGAAAGCTCTCTGTAAATTTTGGTTGGAAAAAATGAATTCAAGCATGGTAGTTTTTTCCAAAACTTTTTGAAACTTCGAGTTGAGTACTCGTTGCTCGATGGCTTCCAACTGTTCCAATGAGACAGAGTTGTTCGCGTCTGTGCCTTTAGCTTCTGTTAGAAGAGACATCAGAAATTGCTCCGCTTCTTCCTCTGAACAGAAACATGATTGTAAATAGTTCAAAAAGGAGTTATCGTTTTCTTTTTATCAATTAGGTCATTATTTAGTGCTCAATTATTTCTTTTTTCGGAACCTTATTCAAAAAACATAGCCAACTGACAGTTGTAAACGAGAAATGAACGCAATGAAACTGAAACAAAAACTGACTTAATTTTTTTTAAACATCTTTCAACTTTTGAATTTCAAAGAAAAAAATAGATGGCCTTAAAGCTCTTTGAGTTTGCAAAACAATTTATGATTGACACTTTTTTGTTAAAATTAACCCAAGTTGAAAAACTGGATTAATAGGCAAAACTTTTATTTCACTGGGATATCTGATAATTAATTTCCAATTTCGAAATTAGAAGTCAACCACGTTTTTGGTGACCTTTACATTTTTGCTGTTCGATAGTGGATTTTGCCTTCCTTTTAACAATGGAAATGCATTGAACTTAAAAAGAAATCACAAGTCAAACCCCGAAAAATCAAAATTGAGCGTGAACAAATTTTAAGACTTTATCCTGAAAAAAAAAACAAAAAAATCAGCAAGACCTAAATAAGAACCCTCACTGCGTTCATTACTCTTAATAAATTGGGATCGAGTTTATTCAACATATAGGTTCTAGATTATTTAATTAATCAGTGAAAATCGAGATCTCGCTGAAAATTTCACTTGGAAAATCTTTCCTTTGCGCATAATCATGTATAATTTTTGATTCAGAGAAGCTGCGCTTCACAAACACTAGTTAAAACACGACAAAAAAGAACAATAAGAAAAAAAATAAGCCTCGAATTAGTCAATATTCGTCAATTCTCGGATTCAAGCTGCGATCTAGAGATAATGAATCTCGCGCAAACCACTCAGCCACGGACGCTTAATAAATCACAAAAACAAGCCACAAATAAAACAGAGAACAGATGCTATGAAAATTCCTTTGTTATAGCAAAAATGCCACCAAATAAAAGAGTCTGTTTAATGAAGACTTTTATTTTTGAGTAGGGCTGAAGTTTTTAAGCGCCATTTTAGGAATCAAAAACTTCAAAAAGTCAAAAAAAATTCCGCAAAAAAACAAGAAAACATTTTTGAAATTTTTTAAATTGTTTTTACGATTTTATTTTGTGTTTCTCAAGCCATTTTCTACAAAATCTGTTCTCCAGTTTGACTATGAACTATATCTATTTTTCGTTCGGATTTTTTATTACACCACACAACAAACGACACTAATTTAAAATATATATATATATATATATATATATATATATATATATTTTCAAGACTACAGTAGGAACATTCTGTGCTATTAGCACGGTAACCGTCTATGCGTGTTTTCTTTTTTTTGTTTTCCATGCAAAATCAGGTACCACAAATAAACATCAGACGATATATCATATTAAAGCCCTTTTAGTCGTGATTCCGCGCGCATTAAGAAATTTCTAAATAATGTTCACAGTGTCGAGAAAATCCGGTTCGAAATCTTCGAATAAAGCGAACGAATAAAGAGATGATAACTTGTAAAAGTGGTCATTTAGACTAAAAACATGATTTTTACTAACGAAAACTATTTTTTGTAAGCTTTATTCGGCACTTCCCTCCAAACAAAATTAAACAAAAAAGATTTAAAAAAATTAAGAATGAAGCTAGAGGCGAAGCTGCGCTTCGCAAACACTGGCCAAAACACGACAAAAAGCTGTTTTCTAAAATGAAATAAGGAAAAATAGAAATAAGCTTCGAATAAGTAAGACTTTACTATGTATCGGATTCGAACTTGCGACCTGGAGATTTGGAGACTCACGACCTGCCCTCTCGGCCATTAACTCGTCAAAATCGGTAAACACTAGTCACAAATAAAGCAGCAACATGTGCGAAAAAACTGTCAATGAGATGCAGCAAAAATGGCACCAAATACAATAATTCAAAATTTGGCGAGTAATAAACTGGAATATAACAAACTAAAGGCATCCTCAATAACTTTGCATGTAAAAAATTGGATAGCATAAAACCATATTATGTATAAATAATGCATTTCAAAACGTTGCGAAAAAAAATGAGATTCTGCTGAAATCGAGTTTCTATTATTTTGTTAATTGAAACAAATAGCTGTGTGTAAACTTGTTACTATTCGAATGTCAAAGCACATGCAATCAAAAAGACGTTAAAGTGCCATCAAAAATAGCACCAATATTTGCGACTTAATTTAGAAAAAAAGAATAGTCGTACTATTACACTACGCTCACTTAACGTCGCAAGTGCAAAAATAATGTGCAAAAACTGGAAAAGAAATCGAGCTTTTTTTGAATTTTTTTTCTTCATTTTTTGGTTTGTTATTCTTTTTTTTTGAAAACATTGTTGTCGATTATGCCAATTTTACTAAGTTTTAACTTTTCTTATCACATCACGCACAAAAAACGGCAGTGTTTTGAAGAATTTTTGTTTGTAGTTTTAACGAATTTTCCGAACATTTTGTGTTACTTGCACAGCAACCGGCTATCCTTGTTCTCTATAGTTTCTTTTGGGTCATTATGTATTGGCATTACTAGTTCCGATTAGTTTTTCTGTCAATCAAACACCGTATCAATTCAAGTTAAGCAATATATCCGAAGTACTACTACGAAAGCATAACCAGTAACTAATTTTTCTTAAACTCGCAAAATTTGGGTCTTCTTAAGCGATTTCGGAGATTGTTTCGTTTAAAAATAGAACCACAAATTTTGCCTCCAAGTAAATATATAGATATACTTCCACCACTCCTCGTCCAGAGTATTTGAACGTCTCTTTAACTTTGAAAAAAGGATCAATTTCGCCAGTTTTATTCCTCTCTAACCTTTTTCAGTTCCTGTTGCGCATTCCAACTTGATCGTTTGTTTGTTCCGATAAGATGACCCACCCCTCTCTTCATCATCGGACACCAAATCAACCACTTCTGTCTCCGTTCCGTTTGCCACGGAGTCCTTGAAAAACAGCTCACAGCCCAACTCTTTCGGGCAGTAGCGAACAACTTCCAGCCACAGATCCTGATTGTCCAACACAAACACGATAGCCTCCGAGACCACTTTGCTGTCGCCTATTTTGGAACTGACTAAAAGGGAGAACTCAAACAGCGCCTCGGCCACCGGATTAGTGCGACAAATGTCGAAAAAGTTTTCAAAACTCTGACAAACTTCGGCAAACTTTTTCCGTTTTTTCTTCTCTTCGCTACTTGAACTTTGTGCGGTGTACTTGAAAATTGGTTTGCAAAGGTTGTAACACTTCTTCAGAACTTCGGCAGTGTTCATCAATTTGACTTGCTGGATAAAAGCGAAAACAGAGTTGGTGTTAATATGAAGAGACGCCGCCACTTGACATCGTATGGCGGTTATTTCGGTTCGCATATCAGCCAACAGCAACTCAACGTTCTGATTGGCTATCTTCTCCGTCTCTCGTCTCCCATCAGCCTGAGCTCTGCTCAAAACCTCAAACAAAACGAAAAGGATTTCCAATTCCGACTATAACAAGGATGCCGTGAAAGTAGCTCAAAACTTTACGGCCTTGTTTTCTTGGGGGGGGGGGGGGGTATATTTTAAAGGGAACTCAATAGATTTTGACAGAGGTTCAGCAGTTTTTTCATAAGTATCTTTTCGATATTTGACTGATATAGGCATTCAGAGAAAAGCAGTTGAGTTGATGTTATTTAACAGCCAATTTAGTCAGTCTTAAGCGATAATTTTTAGTCGGGGAAACTGAGAAGGCTTTGAAACGATACGCCACGCGACCCTGAAGGTGATTTGGGGTACCTGAATTTCGATTTAACACATCTTACTTTCACTATTTAAGGTTCCATAGGTGGGGGCATGGGTCATCGCAACAATAAGATAAAACAAGCGTCGCTAGTGAAAACTGAACTCTAATACTTCGTCACACTAAAACTATTTCTCTAGGTTATGACAAATTGACTCATCATAAAAGTATCGTATAAGGGTCTAGATTCGATTTCAATTTTGAGCCGAGTTTTTTGTAAACGATCATCTAAGACATTAAAAGAAACTCCCGTACAAGACTGAATTGAAGGCTTACACTTTTTAGCAGAGGCAGAGATATTATTCTGATTCCGATGTGCCAGGGGTTGACAACATCCAACGCATCTGCCAAAAACATGAGGAAATCATTGGTCTGCAACTCCCGTGTAGCCCATAAATTATTCTTCACCAGATAGTCTCTAAAATGCGAAGCGACCATACTCGAGGTCAGATTCTGGGGTTGGACTGAGCCGTCGGTGGGGAACTTGAACTTGTCGTATATAACTGGGTTCTTATAAAGGGGCCCCATCTGATATACACTCTCGAATGTCTGTTTCTGAGTTGCACTGGATGAAGAGGGAGTCGCTTCAGACGGATGCGTCGGCAATGCAACCAGAAGAGTCTCCAGATCTCTGATGGTGCAGACATTTCTCAGCTAACGAAGAAAATAAGTCAGATTAGTAGCCGATTCAGAGACGATGAAATCGATGAACCTGTATGGCCAATGGGTTCCATTTTATTGCATCCACGTTTGGCTATTCAGTTCAAAATTCCCATCACTGAAGTTATCAAATTCAGGTTCCAAAAAATTGTTAATTTGTTCAGATTCAATAGTTCAAATTCACATATTCAACGGTTCAAACGCCTCTTGCAAATATGTGGTTGATAAAAATTAGGTTGAGGTTTCAGAAGTTCCATTGCTTACCCTTGTTGAAACATTGTTTTTTTAGTCCTTCTTTCAGTTAAAGAATGGTAATAACTTCTACTTTTTCGACATTATCACAACTAACCTCCACGTAGATGTCGATATACAAGTTGACCTTGCGCTCTCTCATACTCAGCTCTTTCAGACATGCAATCTGATTCACGTGCCTCACATTTCCAATTCTGAAGTCCGCCAGGCTCTTCTTGCGGTAGTAGTGAAGCAACGCCTTTTCCACTTTAGGAGCACATACAAACTCCCCATTTGAACACATGTTCTGCAAGATGATTTTACAAGCAGTGTCCAAGTCTGGCTGGGTGATCACACTGTTGGGCAGAATCGCCTGAGAACTCATGACCTCACCCCTTTCTATTTTGTCAACCGTCTGCATGATTACATCATTTTCTCCAATTCCAGGGGCAGCCGGGAGACTCGGATTGTCATTTAGACAAATAAATTCAGGAGAATCGCCCTGTGAATTCATATGACGTCTGTTGCCACTCCTAAGAGCAGACCCACCACCCTGTTTGGACCCAACAGAACGCAGAGGCGGAGAAGTATATGTTGACGATACGGTAGGACGCGGAGGAGTTGCAGAAAGACTTGTCCTAGTTTTTCTCTCCTGCTGGTTTTGTAAATCAGCACTCACATCCACATTTCTAAACAACTTTTGCATTCGAGGGTGGATGGGGGGACGACTTCGCCCTTTAGGGATTCGACCCCCTGCCGACCCAAAGGGTCGCCCTTTGTACTATTTAGAGATATACATTTTTGGTGACTGACTCTAGAAGGCGCCAGTAATTTTAACTTTGAGGGGGGAGCGCGCGCGCCGAAAAAACGCAATTGATAATCTTTGAGCAGAAACCAGTTGAGCAGAAAAATGATTTTATAAAAAACTTTCAAGGCCCCATTACAGCACAAAAAAGTTGGCAGCCGACGAAACTTGAGCTGGCAAACGAAAGTCCTACATTTCATATTTTACCGGGAAAAAATCTCAATTTCAAACATACTGAAAAGAGCAAGGTCTAACTGGGACTCAAACCCCAGAAATTAGGGTGCAGAAGCAAATGAGTTACACCAGTACTAGATGAAAGGAACCTAGAAGTTGTTAAGGTTCAATAATAAAAAATTGCAAGTGCTCTTGTAAAGCAAGTGCTGTTAAAAGAACAGTTGTTTACGGTAACTCTAGTTCCGGATTACAAGATTTTTTAAAAACCAGAAGAGCTTTTAAAAAGACTTGATGAGCAAGGAAATTGAAATATAAATTGATTCCTTTGAAAGTTTCCGTTTTTCGATATCTTATTTTTATATGAAAAAATAATGAAAAATTAGAAACAAAGCCAACAGTCAGTTGGAAAAAGGTTATGAACGCAAGGCAACCTCAAAAATTTCGAGACTGAAAGAAAAATTAAATCACTTTGAAGGCCGTTGAATTTCAAAGTCAATTTATCATTGACACTTTCGTAATAAAAAAAAAACTCAAAAAAATTTTCTAAAAAAAATCAACTCGATCTATGCAAGCGTCTTCACTACACCCGTTATCACCGAAAAAATGATCAAACGCTCATAGCCCGCTGAGTTTCCAGAATTTTCCATGATTGACAAGATTTCGAGAAAACTGGATCAAAAAGTATTACTGTTTATTCTGCGGCAACTAAGCCAACAATACTTGGTCAGACAGCCTTTGAGCCAAAAAAATACTGTTGTAGCATGAAACATTTTTTGAAACTTTTTAAGCCTCGTACGGGGTACACACACGTGCATGAGAACCATTTTCGCCCATAAATCGACGCAAAAAGAAACGACTAACCCTATATAAAATAGATTAGAACCATTCAAACCGACTAAAGCAAAGAAGACAAACAACAGAAGAAAAAAGCTTAAGTTATAGAAAATAGGAGTCGGTACAGTTAAAACCAACAAAAATACCACAGTTAGAATATGAAGATTAAGTAAAATGAAAATGTGCTCAAAATGAGTTAAAAAAGTTCTAAAAATGATTCAATGATTCTGTTAACAAGTTGTTAGCCTGAAAAGAACTACGTTCAGATTTGATAACGCTTCCCAATTGCGCGCGTTAGCAGCAACATATCGTAATTATTTCCAAAAATTGTCTTTAAGAAAACAAGGTTCAAATAGAGGCGAAGCGCCACTAGCGGTAAAAAAAAACGAATGACTATGATTAAGATCAAATGAAAACAAATTTTAAAAATTCCAAAAATCGTTTTTGTCAATAAAAAACGCAATAGAAGTCCAAAACAACCGTAACAATGTTGACTGCACCATTAGAAACTTGCTAGAAAGAGCTAGAAAAAATGCTAGAAAGAGTCCGAATTTTTGAAAACTCCTCTTTGCAAAACTAAGCCGACAAAAATAAGCAGACAAACAAAAATCAAAACTAACCGAAAATTTTCAGTTTGCTAAAAACATGCCTCGACTGGAACGGAACTCCCGGACTTTGTCGTCTCAAGCATGAGTGGTACAGCAAATTGGAAGAAAACTGAACATTTGAAAAAAAAAGTCGGGCTACGGTAACTAAGCCGACCAAAATAAACAGACTGATTATATTACGAAAAAGCACAAACACTTCAAAAACACTTCCCGGCCGGATTCGAACCACAAGACTTTGCCTTTTTAAGCAGTTGTGTTACCTCTACGCCAGATACTGCCTAATATTTGATTGAGTTTATAACAAGCAAGCGGCAATAAAGCCGAAAATACCTGAAGAAGCCATTCATGTCGAAAAAAAAATCCACCAAAATTTAAAAACTTGAGTCCCTCTTTCCCTCAGAACACACACGCGCACCCAAAATTTTTTTCGGTCATTAAAGGACGCAATAAGAGTCGATATAAAGTATGACGAAACCTAAAAAGCCGAAAATAAACAAAAAAAATTCGAGTTGGTTAAATTACAAAAAAAATTCGATAATACCGGATGACTAAAGTGTTAACATTAATCAATATAGGTCCGTTGCAACAGAAACGCCCAGAAGACTAATGAGTCTTGTGAACAAAGTTATTTACGAAAAAAAGTCTAGAACCCGATTGCAAAACCCTTGCTCATCGCAAGGGTGAAGAATTTGAATAATTTTTTTGCGTTCGATTTGGAATCCGTTTTAATGTGACCAAAAATCACAAAGTATCTTAAAAATAAGTGAAATAATACCAGAAAAAAATCCACTTTTTTACAGTAAATTACTCCTCTTGAAAAAACTTACCCTAAATTAGCATCCGTGACTGTTCGATTATTGCGGTGCTCGTCAACCAGCGCACAGTAGTCGGAAATATTCAAACTAGCCCAATTTCGACTTTTGTTTATAGAAGAATACTTCTGCGGACCCAACAGACCGATCAGTTCTTCTTCTGCCAGACGTCTCTGCTCCTCAACGCGGAAGAATTGCACTTCTTCTCTGAATGTCTTCAATCGTTGACGACTGGGATCTTTCGGAATTGCTGCCGATGTTGTATTATTGAGACTATTCGGCGATGTTGAACTATTTTGACAGTTTGAAACATTCAGAGCACTGTTTGTGATCAACGGAAACTCGTTTGAAATAGAACTAATAGAACTACTATGAATAGAGGTTGCATTCAAATTTGCGTGGTGATCAAATGGGCTTCCCATAAGCGGTCTAATTGGCTGCGGCATTAGAGGGCTGCTCCGGTTCGAATTCGGTCTCTGTAACTGGGACACACTCTTTGGAAAGCCCACCATCCCATACGACTGAGCCAGAGGCCTCATAGGAACATTCTGATGGCCGTTAAAACCTCCAACTGGATACCTAGCTGTATTTTGATTGCCTAGCATTAACTCTTGTGGCAATTTCTGGAACGGCTGACTTCCGAACTGCTGTTGTCGATGTTGCGGTTCCTGCGGCTGTTGTAGTGGTTGCTGCTGCTGATTTGAGAAACCATGATTGACAGGTGTCCCATTTGAGTTCCGATCGAATATTATTTGTACATCGTCATCTGAAGATTGACTCGTGACTGTGTTCCTTCGCGCAGCTTGCCTTCCTGGGATATTTTGCGATAGACTCCCTTGAGTACCCAGAGTCCTAGCTTGTTCGGGCCATGTCTTTCGCACCCTGACGTATCCTTCTGAAATCTCCAACTTGCAAATATCCCCCACCGAACGGAACATATCCTGATCATTTGAGAAGCCAAGAGATTGACCGGTTGGAAACTGTTCTTTTGTGACTGATTCAAACACTTCGTAAAACTGAGACATGGTGAATGAATCACGGCTTCGATCGACAGAAGCAAAAACAGCCGCAATATTATTGCGAAAGTTTTCCCTCATTTCATCTAGCTTTTTATCTCGCTTCCCAGTCATGTTAAACGTGATGAGTCAGAGATTAGTTAGACTACTTCAGTTAAAACAGATGTTTTAAACATCAGTTACGCTACAAGATTTGGAATCCTATTCATTGACATTAATCTAAAAATTGAAATAAATTAAAATAGTTCAATAGCTTTGAAATGATTCGCAAAACCAGTTTTTATCAACGTAGACAGGCAAAAACACATGTACAAACCTGTGGTAAAACTCCAGGGATACACCACAAATAACGAAAATAAAGTAGAATTCGAAAAAATACACAGAGGTGCAGCTGAACTTCGCAAACACAAGCGACAAAACGATATAAAGCAGCTCTAAAAGAGAAATAAGAAGAGGTAAACACAAACCTTGGCTCTTTTCTTTCCCCCCCTTCCCTAACTGCCAATTTTTACAAGTATAATGTTTGCTCAAATTGTCCGATTGTAATGAAATTTGGCATGCGGACTTAATATTAGACTATGACAACTTTTGACCACTCGTTACACCATAGAATTGATGCTCATGGCAGGTGGGAGAAAAGGAAAAAGAGGCTAAGCCTTGAATAATAAAACTTTAGCTCTGCATCAGATTCAAATATCCTACTTTCAGATTTGGAGTCACGGGCTCTTAAATGCCACGGGCCCTTAAACGTTCCAACCTTTAGCCACCAGTAAAGCAGCTACGGAAACTGATAACTTACCAATGCTATGCAACAAAAAAATCACCAAATCTACACTAAAAGCAACCACGCAATAAGTCGAAAATTTTAAAGACAAATTGTATATTAATTATGCATTTCAAAAATTTTGCAAAAATCTTGAGTTCTGAAAACTTTTGAAATGTACTTTAAGTAGCATTGTATGAACCAAATAGCTTTTTTAAGGTTCATTTAATGAATTAACATCAGGGCTGGTCGTTAAAAGGTAAATTGTAATTAAGGAAAGGCAATGAAGATAAGGTCGAGAAAACTCAGTACACCTTTAAGGCGGAAGTGTGAAACAATTAAGGCAGTGTGAATTTATTTACTAATAATGAGTTGCGATTACGCGTAGTTGCATCACGCCAGAGCTGTTATCACTCTGTATACGGAAGCTTCAACTGGGCAAATAGTTAGTGTTTTAAAGCGAACGCATTGTTCACCTCGCATGTTTAAAAAATTTCTGGCAACTAAATTAGCACTTATATTTGACGACTTAGGCTGGCCTAACAAAATCTGCCTTGTAGTCATACACTACGCTTCGCATGTGTAACAATTGTTCCGACCATTGAAAATGGGGAGGAACTTTGAATTCGGGTGTGTTTTAGTTTTTTTTCCTTTTGTTTTCCACGCAAAATCAGGTACCACTCGGACTGGGTTTAGTGATATATCATATTAGAGCCCTTACAGTCGCGATTCTAACCACATTAAAATTTCAAAATATTTCCCCGTGCCCAGAAAAACCAGTTTGAAATTTTTGATTTGTCTCATTTCAAGCGAATAAAGCGAGCGTGCAGTCTTATTGTAACTACTTAAAGCTTACACTAGCTTAATTTAAAACGTAAAAACTAAGTTTTACTTGAGTAACGTTAGTTTACTTTACTTGAGTAACGTTAGCTAGAGTATGTTAGCAACTTTTTGGAATCAAAATTCCAAAAATTCAAAAAAATGCAAAACTTAAAAACTTCTTTTTTCTTTTTTAAGTAACTTTTCTAAAAAAAAAATATTTTTCAATTTGCTTACTTAACCACGAATATCGAATATAACTAATCTTCAGTTTTTTGTTCAGCTCCTTTAATCACACCATGCCGAAAAAAAACGACAATACTTTGAAAAATCTGTGGTATTTTTTAAGACTATGGTCGGATTATTATGTGCCACTTGCACAGTAACCGGTATCCTTGTTTATAAATTGACAATGCTGCAAAAAACCTTTTCGGACTTGCCAAAGTTATGAAGTCGGAGTAGTAAAAATAAGGGCTCATTGTGCTCCAATGTGAATATATAGTAATTTATTAGTTTGTGATTGTGTCTTATTTAATCAATCTTTAAAAATTGCATATACCAACAAACAACATTTCAAAAACTTTGAAGCTCAAATAGAAAATTAATAAATTACGAAAGCCATTTGAAATAAACGGATGTTATTTTATGAAATTTATGTTGCGAAGCGGAATTTAAATTAAGGTTATTGTTCCGACCATTTGAAAATCGGAGAAACTTTGTATTCGTGTGTTTTAGCTTTTTCTTTTTCGTTCCGACCATTTGAAAAATGTGGAGGAGCTTTGTATTCGGGTGGGTTTTAGTTTTTGTCTTTTTTCCACGCAAAATCAGGCACCATAAAAAATCATCGTAAACGGTCGAGTTATATACCATATTGGAGAAACATATGAAATTAATGTTTCGAAGCAGAACTCAAATGAAGGATATTGTTCCGACCATTTGAAAGTCGGAGAAAATTTGTATTCGGGTGTGTTTTAGTTTTTGTCTTTTTTTCCACGCAAAATAACGTACCATAAATAATCATCGTAAACGGTCGAGTTATATACCATATTGGAGAAACATATGAAATTAATGTTTCGAAGCAGAATTCAAATGAAGGATATTGTTCCGACCATTTGAAAATCGGAGAAAATTTGTTTTCGGGTGTGTTTTATTGTCTTTTTTTCCACGCAAAATAACGTACCATAAATAATCATCGTAAACGGTCGAGTTATATACCATATTGGAGAAACATATGAAATTAATGTTTCGAAGCAGAATTCAAATGAAGGATATTGTTCCGACCATTTGAAAATCGGAGAAAATTTGTATTCGGGTGTGTTTTAGCTATTTCTTTTTCGTTCCGACCATTTGAAAAATGTGGAGGAGCTTTGTATTCGGATGGGTTTTAGTTTTTGTCTTTTTTTCCACGCAAAATCAGGTACCATAAATAATCATCGTAAACGGTCGAGTTATATACCATATTGGAGAAACATATGAAATTAATGTTTCGAAGCAGAATTCAAATGAAGGATATTGTTCCGACCATTTGAAAATCGGAGAAAATTTGTATTGGGGTGTCTTTTAGCTATTTCTTTTTCGTTCCGACCATTTGAAAAATGTGGAGGAGCTTTGTATTCGGGTGGGTTTTAGTTTTTTCTTTTTTTTCCACGCAAAATCAGGTAACATAAATAATCATCGGAAACAGTCGAGTTACATATCATATTAGAGCCCTTACAGTCGCGTTTCCATTCACATTAAAAATTTCAAAAAAAATTCCCCGTGTAGAGAAAAACCGGTTAAAAACTTTTTAGTTCAATTTTGAGCGAGTAAAGCGATCGTGTAACGTTCGTTATATATAAATATTGGCTAATTAAGCTTAAGCAAAACTTGATTTTCTTAAGAAAAAAAAACAGTTTTGGAAGCTTTATTAAGCGCTTTCTTAACCATGAAAATTTTATTTTGGAACTTTTGTCCATCTTTTCGTTTATTTAATTAATGAAGACAATTGTAGTATTTTATGCTTAAATCACTAATTTTCCACGGGTTTTTATAAATGTATAATCACAGAACGCAGAAGACTGTTTTTTCGATTGTGGTCGGAACATTCTGTGTTACTTGCACAGAGCCCGGCTACCCTCGTTTTTTTTCACGCGAAGTCAGGTACCACACATACTTATCGGAATGAGTACTATATCGTATTCAAGCCGTTTAAGTCGTGATTCGAAGACATTAAAAAATTTTTAACCGGTTTGAAATTTTTGATATTTGGTCTAATTTCGAGCTAATAAGGTCAACGTGCATGCATATAATAGGTTATTTAAGCCGCGGAAACTTTTCCTGGGCAAAGTTACTTCTTTGAGTTTATTAGCGCATTTCTGCTTAAGATTAGAAAAAATTTGTGAAAATTATAAAATTTCTTTCGCGATTTTTTTCGTCTTCTTCAAAAAAGTGTTCGACTTAGCCAATTTGACTATGACTGTCTAATATGCCTTATTTCTATTTTTTCGTTCAGATCATTCTATCACACCACACAAAAGAACGACACTTATTTGAAAACAATCGTATTTTTTAAGACCGGCTATCCTAGTTACGGCAAAGTAGCAAAATCATCAAAGCCTTAACTAAGTAGACAACACTTGAGCTCATTCGCGTTGTGCCAAAAAAATTTGTTGGCACAAACATTTTGATCTGTTAAACACCTATTTAAAAACGTATCGCTTTGTAAGCGACGCAATATGAGTCGAATAAGCCAAAATTACTTTCGCCGAAACCTTCTCAAGCGATCTTAAAATGGACGCTAAAAACTGATTTTATTCTTGGTCGTAGTTGGTAAGTTAAAAACCAACAAAAATCAAATTTTGGAAAAGCGGGTCAATAAAATCAAGGAAACCGAAAAAATATAGTTTTTTGAAAAAAAAATTAATTGTTGAATATGGAAACAAAATTATACTTTCAACCTTTTATAACTGCAAACTTTTAAGAAACAAGCCCATCAAAAATATCAGAAAAAAAATAGCTGCTAGAAACTTAACTGCTGTCTACAAACTGCTGTCTACAAAACTGCTGTCTACAAGAGCAAAACATTATAAACTTAAGCAAACATTAATTTTGTTCAAGACCCACAGACCTCAGTTTGAGTAATTAAACACGATCTACTTAACAATCCCCCCCCCCTATGGTACCTACTTAAGAATCTCCACCCCTTTAAATAAATACATTAAATTAGCACTGAGCTTTCTATTGAGAATTCTAATTTTGCTGCATTCTGATTGTTCGAAAATTCGACCATTTTGATCTACTTAACATTCGCCCCCCCCCCCCTCCTTTCTTGAAAGGGGTGGAGATTGTTAAGTAGATCCATTAAACCTTTTTAACTAGTGCATCCTTTGTTTTTGTGGTTACATTTGTTTTGGTACTAGTTAACTTGTTTGGTCCCTCAAAAATGATGTGGTCCCTAATAAAAACAGAGGTACAGTATGTGGCTAAATCTATCAGTAAGCGATTTTTTGTCTCTATATTGATGTCGAAACGCGTCTAGTTAGTATAGCGGGTACGAATCCGGTTACCAACCCCAAGTCGTAGGTTCAATTTCCGTGCTGGCGCTGCTTTGAAGAAAATAGGCGGGACCAATCACCTTAACTAGCTTTGTCACGGG